TGTTATTGCCCTTACTTATGTAATTATGTAACTATAAATCTTTGTGACGCTGTTGGTTTCAAATAAATAAATATATTTTAAAAATCTTTATTGTTCAAATAATAAAGGTTTTAGATACATTTCAGTCTCATTGTGATCACAATAGTTTAATTAAGTATCATCTCCAACACTTTCAGCTGCAAATTTGTAGGTTATAAATGCTTTTTTGATGTTTATTAGAAAGTACGTTCGGGAATAACCCGATAGTTAATTTATTTTCATTAAAATTCGAAATTAGCTTATCTCGCTTAGACTGAATGTTGGTACATTCCGCCAATATAAGGAAAACATTATACTTCTACATGTGTCACAAGTGGGAAAGTTTATTACTGATGAAAGTATCCAAAGTTATTGAGCGGAATATATCCAGAACGTAGTCAATGAGCCAGTACAGTGAACTATCTATGAACGGGAAGACTGGTATACCAGGTAACATGAGGAGGCTCAGCTTGTATAGTCCTATAACTTATTCCTTTTGTTTTACATCTTTCATCGAAATATGTCTTTCAATATTTTTGGTACTTCTTAATAATTTGGAAAAACTAGATCACAGGTAAGAAATAAGTATGGTACCTAATACAATCTCTTGTATATCCGCTCCGGCATCAGATATCGCCCCCTTCACAACTTAATAGTCAAACTCACGACTTAACTCATAATGAAGCACTTTAGAACCCTATCCTTGGTGACATCAACTTACAGAACAACTGCCGGAAGTTCGTCAAGCGACTAGATAATAGTTTTGATTGTATTATGTATATTAATTGGAAGTTTAATTGATTTTTAAAGATATGCAAATTAGAGTACAGTTAGTGAATACAAATAGTGTTTGAAAAATAGTTTTTATTGTACAGTCAACACGACAGAAATACAAATGTAATTTGTAAATACAAATGGCATACATTTTGTTTAAATCTATAGATAGTTTAATCAAAATTATCGCAGAAAATCCTTTTTTTGTTTCCTAATACTGTATTAGATTTCATCGATTTAAAGATTGGTTACAATTTGGGAAACAAATTAAGAAAAATACCGCATGAAGCCTTTAGCAATAATAGATAGTTATTATAACGTATTTATTTTATACTGGCTGTTATCCCGTGACTTTGCACGCGTAAATTAGTATATGTCGACCCCATATAATGTAACTAACCGTATGTGAAAGAATATTTAAAATCCATCCAGTCAATCAATCAATCTTTTATTATACATATTAAAGGCACTTTTGAATTATCTAAATTACCATTCTAGACTTCTTTTTGCTGACAAGAACAACAAACGAAAGTAAAAAATAAATTAATAAAAAAATAGTCATCGTCATATATATTACTCAGATTCCAAGATGAATAGCTAAAGCCCTCGTATTATGGTGTGTATGAGACGGCGAAGGTGAGTATACAACCCGCTCTGTACCGGAGTCCGGCTCGAAGGACCAGGAAATATGGTAAATCATCATCATCACATCCGGCCCTTTTTACGTCCCCACTGCAGTGGCTCAGGCCTTCCTTGTGGATGGTTAAGGAGAATGGGCCATGACCCTCCACGCTGGCCCAATGCGGATTGGAGGGTATTAACGACTGCAAATGAGTCGGGACCAACGGCTTAACGTGCCTACCGAAGCACGGAGTAGCTCGAGATAACAATTTTTTGGTCACCCATCCCGAGACCGACCCTTGCGAAAGTTGCTTAACGACAACGATCGCGGGCCGCGGCGCTTATCCGCTACGCCACCGAGCTACTATGGTAAATAAAGAAAAAGATTGGGGCCGTACTTGGTTCACTGAGTCTCAGCATACTGGATCGACCCAGCTATAAGTGCCGAAGCGAAGTTTCGATATTCACCGATTACCACTAAGAATAATATAGGAAATCAATATTAATTATATCATTACCAAAACAGAGTGTACCTTATAGGTATAATAATAAAAACAATTTATCAATAACTGTAGAACATAACATCCTATTAATATTATAAATGTGAATATAAATGATGAAATGTGAAATTTGGTATACAGATAGGGTATTAGCTGACTTAGATAATAGGATACTTTTTATCCCACTAAACATTTCCCTAGGGACCACGCGGGCGAAGCCGCTGGCGAAAGCTAGTTACACATAATTACTTATTGTTGGTCAGTGTAGAACAAAGTGAAGGTATTAATAAAGAAAGCTACATTTTAGATACCTACTAACAATATATACCTAAGTAATAAAATGCATTTCGCGCCCGTTAAATAATAAACAACATTATTGCGTATCAAATATGAAATTAACTCCAATGGAAAATTTCCGTATTAAAACAAGCAAATGGAAACCGACGGTCGTACACGAGATATTTATTGAGCCCTAAATTGTTCAGACAATAAAATAGAATACTCGCTTTTAATGACGTACTCAACAGTGGATGAATAATTTCTATATTACCGAAAAGGGTTACGACTGGAGAGCAATAATTCATTATTGATTGCTTGGAAACAGTCTAAAGGAAACGTTATAAATATTAAACAACACCACTCATCAGCACAGATAACAAACTAATTAAATAAAGATCTGCCTTGTGGAAGTTAAGCAACTTTCGGAAGGGCCGGTCATTGGATGGGTGACCGAAAATTTATTAGCTTGAGTTCCTTCGTGCTTTGAATACCACGAGCCGTAGGTATCAGCTGCATCAGGTGTCGTTAACAGCCACCAAACTGGGCCCGCGTGTTGGGTCGTGCATGGCCCGCTTCCCTACTCGATTCGATGTCACCCATAGCGATGACCTATGCCCCAGAAGTGGGGACATTAATAGACTTGTAATGATGATGATGTTATAAAAAAATCTGAAGTTAGGAAGACGCCAAAATCTTTACTCGAGTCAATATTATTGTCTTGAAGATAGGATAAAATGTAGGACTCGGTCAGATAAAAAAATGGAAACGCGATTCCGAAGTACTTAGAACTAAATTTAAGTGCGTAATATTAAAATGTTTGAGAACACATATTCTTCTATGTTTCTTATATAATAGTGAGACACCATAGGCGTCAGCTGAAAATCGACGCTGTAGTCATCTGCGGCTTATGTCGAGCTGGAGCCTTTTGGACACACCACCCTGGAGGGCCCTAGTTCTATATGAAACTGAATCTACAATTTGTTGTTATTCCTGTGCTATTCTTTGCTGTTATATTGTGATGGTGTGTTCAATAAATCATTCATTCATCCAATAAATATACCGAGTGCCAACTTTTAAGTCGACGACGGAATCCGACTTCCCTTGGGATCTTTTGCTTGGGATCTCAAGCGTAGGATGTATCTATATAGAAAAGATAATTTTCTACGTTTATATTACATTTAGTATCAATTCGTAGTTTATCCACGTGTCACTAAAAAATTCCTAAATTAAATTAAATAGATAGAAAATTATGTATGAATTAAATGACTTGCTCGGTGACATTAGAATGATATATATTAAACAAGTAATTTGGTTTATGAATAAATACAGTAAAAAAATAAAAAAGATGGAATTTAACCTCCTTCGTCGGCAACACCACTAACAAAGCCAGAGTGGCTCATAATACAGTTTCAAGGTGTCGCTATCCTTGTGGTCCTAGGCTCAATTATCTATCGGCTCAATAAAATTACCTTTATTATATTCAGGATTCAGGTCTAGGTATTGTGGTACCTTCATTGTTTCACATTTTCATAATACAATAGCTTTAGCTACTAAATTTGGGATTTAAGCAATGTATGTGTTGTTTTCTATTTTTCTTTAGTTATTAAAAAAAAACGATAAGACCGCTTCTCTTTTCTCTAAGAAATTTGTTTTTAGTTTTATACTATTATTTTGCGTGTTATCACAATAAACCAAAACCAAGCACTTGTACGTAGCCACGAGAAAATGCCTCAGCAAAGTACCTACATGTGATTAGGGATGTCAACTCGCTAAAAAAAAGAAATTCTATTTAGTTCGTCAGTAAAATAATATAGTTATATTAGATACGTATTTTTTTACTTCAATTTAACAAGAAATAGATAACAGGCATTAAAGTTGAGGAGTGGGGGCTCGCTACGTCACATTTTTTTAGAAAATGTACGAAATCGTGACGTCATGTAACATTTTAACTTCAGACATTGAGCCGTAATTTAATGATTAAAAAATAAACATAGTTGTTTAATATTTTTCAACCTGACGAACAAACAAAAATTTGTCGTCATTTCTATTTTCGGTAAAGTTATTTAAAAAGCCTTCATAAGGTACTAATTAAGTTAAGTAATTCTGACCCAGTTCTTATTACATGCTGTTTATATTTAATATTCTACAGTTCTACTCGTAGAACTTAATATAAAAGTAACTCATGGATAGAACAAATTTTGATTCAAAATAAAAGTCAGTGAAAAAAATTTTTTTTGAAAAATTGGTAGGTGAAACAACACGACGATTAAAAACAAAATAAACTATATGTTTTTGTAGAAAATTCTATAATTTTCTTATTTTTGTTGTGTATCAAATTTCAAGTCGGACAGACAGAAATGTGACTGATAAACGCATACATAAATATTGTTAACCAAAAAAATATTTCATTAAACACTTTAAGGTTACTCAGAAATCAACAGAAATAAAATTAAGGGCATTATACGTTCCCATTGGTATACCTGTCATTGATATAGGTAAAATTATGTCACACCAAATCTACACTCCCCAAGGTTTTCAAGTTTCACCCTTTCCCGAACTAAAAGGCGAAGTCTCTGTACCAGTCTACGGCCCTTTTACGTCACTCTTCGCCTATCACTCATTCAACGCTCATAAATATTGTGCTAAATAAAGTTTTCCTTCAGTCTCTGTCTTGTAGACAGGTGACGTTAGGGAAAAGACAGCCTTAATTGACAACCCGTTGCAGTTCGATTCGTGACTTTCGTTTTTTGAAACAGTTAAATCGTTGTGTATATCTAAGACTTCTATTATATGATATTTTACGCGATCATGAATAAAGGTGAATGTACGCACGCAACAGACGGACGGTCGTATGTAACATGTCTTAAGATAAACTTTAAAAGATTTTAAAACTCATTCAGAGTGGTTTTTACGTGAGCCGCGCATAAAAGACGAACTAAATCCACTCTAAAGGGATTTAAGTAACATAAGCTTTCATCACGGCTTTTTAAACGTATATGACTTGAGTGCTGGGAAGTATAGAAGCTACCCGTTTTAGTTTACAAATGAATATTTATTTAGCTTTTTTGCCTATAAAACCATCTTAAGATAGTTTAAATAACGAAAAGCCGTCAACGGTGTTATTAACATCTCTAATTGGAACAGGTAAAGCTTTTAAACGTCTCTAAGGTTGAAAATTGCTTGCAACTAAAACTACCCCTTATCCTGAGCATATATTTAGATTCCATCGCGAATCTAAATAGTTACAGAGTGTGTGATTACCAGTGAGGCATTTACTAGGTTGAGGTTTCAGAAGTAGAAGTTGTTTTGGCGTGAATGTTTTATCTGAATAATGAATTACCTGGCTAAATATAAACATAGTATGTCTCAATATAAACATAATATAATAAATCAAAGTTGTTTCCCGCTATTTGCACGCTGAAATCTATTATACCACATTATGGATTTTATAAGCTATAAAGCAACTTGTCTTTCTCATTTTTAGTTCGATTTTGGCTGTTTAATTTTTGAATTATATGTTTTTATTTAGAGCACACTTAATTCAGGGACAAAACAAATAATAAAATGTAAACAAATATATATATTTCTGGGATGTACTCATCGATACCTCTTAATTTGATGCCTATATTGCTAGAATTAGAGGAAAAAATATTTTTTAAATGGCTTCATATATGCACCATATTGGAAAATTAAAAAAATATATAGCCCGTGTTATTTAGGATAATGTAACGTTTCTCATCATTCTAATCATACCCTATACATTCGTATCTGTTAAATATTTCAAGTTATAGTGGAATAAAGAAACTCATTAATAACCCTAAACACATTATACTTCTTTTTAATCAGTTGTGTAAAAAAAACTACTTTTGATATTTAAAAAAAAATATAAAACAATGTAATAATATTGTATATTTTATACACAACGTATAATTTTTCACGTTTGTTACCTCAAAATATATGGTTTTGTATAAAGGCCACTAACGTGACATTGGTGGAATTGTGTAAACGCAAATATAAATATACATTAAAAAAAAAAAGAACTGAAGCATGCAAAATCATAGACGACCGTTGCCTATCATGCCAAGCAAGTACTTATTAAGGTATTATAACGAACGTTACAGGTTTGGTGAAACGACAAATCAGCTTGAGCTATTCTTACTATTAAGTGATTTCTAGTTAAGCTGTGCCTTATTTTTGGTTAGTGAAAATGGGTATCAATGTTTAAGTCCAAGTGAACACGGAAATATAAATTCTAAAATTCGAATATAAATTCGTTACATTCGTTTAATTTGAAAAAAGAACGCGCGTGAAAATGTAAGAAACTAGTTCATAATAAACTTTTTATAAAGCTAGTCATCTATTTCAGTGTGTTCCCGTGCCTGGGCTGGGGTTCCGCAGGGGTTCTTACCGGTGTCTATGCAAACGAGGATTCTACTTCCCAAACACGACTGCAGATAACCGCTACTACAATGGCAGTGACATAGAAGAAGAATATGAGAAACATTTATCGGTAAGTACTTACTAAATGCATGTACCTAACATAATTATTGTATATTTTTGTAGTGATATCTCAATCTACTACAACCGTTTTCAAAATTATTGTGACTTTAACATAAATTAATAATCGAATTTTTCTTATTTCCTAAATTTATTATATTTTAACTAATAATAACATATATTTTTTGTTTTATTTTATAGTACTTTTGTAATGTTATATCGCTTAATCATGTTTAATTATTATAAAAATATTAATATTAGAAATGCATTATATACAGATTAATAATCTGGATTACCTCCGTCTTTCAAATAATTCATTTATAGATCAACCGTAAAAAAGTGCTGAATTTGCGGAAAAACACATTAAAATTGAACATATGAACAACATGCTGGACATTTTGTAAAAATAGTAACGTGAGAAGAATCAGCTCTTCTTAGCTTTTGAACGATTTAACCAAAAGAAATTTCTCGTTTAATTGTCTTTTTTATTAATGTATTAGCAAGTGGGGCTTGTTGTTCTCTTTATCGACGCGAATTAGTATGCGCATGAGCACAGTTATATAACCTTTAATTAATTTATTACGTTACTCGAAACGTAAGTGCTCTATATATACTTACACTTGTGTTTATAAAGTGTATAATATGAAGATATTCAAGGGAAAGCATTTATGAATTTCATAAATATATAATTTATCACGACAAATAAATTTATGAAAATTGAAAACTTGTGCCTCTAATGATGATGTAATATAATCACATTCATTTGATAAATAAAGATTATTTTACAATGTCTCAGAAACATAATGAGCTATTTTTGTTCCAGCTCCAACGTAGCTTATATTCTTTACCGAATGCCTTCGAGTGTCTCCCTTGCGCTGAAGGTTGCGAAGCTTGCGTGGACGGTTCTCCGTGCGTGGCTGCCCTTAATTGGGTCGTGAGGTCCACCATTTTCGCACTGGCCTGCCTTGTAATATCCTGCTTGCCGTTCATCGTCTACTTCACCATCAAGTACGGGCATGTTAGGGTGAGTAATATGGTTTCAGAATGGAATAGCATTACACAACAAACTGATAGTATTAAATATCGATTTTAAGCTTATTACCATAAGAAAAAAATATATCTACAATGCTCTCTACAGTAGTAGTGTTTAATAGACTATTACCCAAAACCGATATTTATAATATTGCTGAAATTAATTATGAAAAAACTAATATTTTAGTGACAACGTGACAGTAAACAGTGCGTGACGTCACGACCCTCTTACTCTATCAAGACTTAGAGAATTCAACCTTATGCATACATAGAACGATATTAATTTCAGAGTGCTGTGACGTCATAGCGGCGCCATGTCGGGAGCGTTTTCGCAGGAAATTTTGAAAATTAAATTTATTTTTAGATTTTAACTAATCATATGAATGATATTTAAAAAAAGTGATATATTTCATAAATATCTATGAAATAAAAACATTTAAAAAGTTGTTGTTTCATAATTTACTCACAAATTAAGTAAAATTATTTTATATTTAGGCTTTCTATTGTTAATATATTACTTAATGGCAAAACGATTATTTTCATCATTTTATTAATTAAACATAGATTCACTTCTTTATTATCATGCAACACAGTGAACCTGGCGAAAATTTCAGTGAATAGCCACTCTGATATCAACTTCACGACGTTGCCTGGGCTCTCCCACGCCTGCTGTTTCATTGTATATGTGAAATCAATTCGCCTAGCATGCAGAAACGTGAAAACCCAAGCAAACCCATGACAAAAAAAATGAATAAAGACCTTTCGCAGGTGGTCAGAGCTGCTAGCCCTGCGTTGCTCAGGGTGATAGTCCTCGGGGCACTACTCATCTACTGCACTACCCTGGTCATGTATGGAAGGCCGACGGTGCTTACCTGTACTGCCAGAGTGTGGCTGCGGGAAGTTGGATTTTGCCTCACTTACGGTGCTCTAATGTTGAAGACTTGGAGGTGAGTGTGTTGTTATGAAACATCATCCTTGTTACCTCATCATAGTCATAAGTCTTTTAACGTCCCCACAGCAGGGGCTCAAGCTTTCTTTATGAATGGCTACGGAAGATTGGTCGTGACCCTCCACGCTGGCCCAATGCGGATTGGAGGGTATTGACGACTTCAAAATGAAACCGGGAACCAACGACACCCATCCATTTTTGACCACCCATCCCGTGACCAACCCTTGCGAATGTTGCTTAACAATAATGATTGTAGGCCGCAGGGTTTTTCAACTACGCCATTGAGTTACTCCATTTCTATTACCTATATATTGGAAATTATAAAATGACAAAATATATATCGTTACCAAATTTAGATTTGGTGGAAATGATTACTATTGGGTGGTTGTATTATTATTATATTTTAACGTCGAAACTCAATAATTAAAAAAAAGCTGTTTTTCCGCGTATAATGTAGCTCAACATAAGTGAAAGAATATTTAAAATCGGTAAAAAATAAACACAAACAAACAATGAAATCTTTCTTCTTTATAATACAGAAAAATATAATGATGTATATGTTTTAGATTACGAAATGATTATAGTGTTATTTTTTCCTTTAAGATATTTGACTTCATTACCTATTTATAAACAAATTAATCTTCCATTTCATCTACAGGATTTAGATTTCATTGTTATTTTATTGAGAGACAATAGTCATTAACTGAAATATGAAATAAAATCTATAATTTCTGAAATACGGAGTCTTAATTACTAGTTTGAAATTAAACCTAAACTGGATCTTAAATATTTTTAGTTGGCAATATGTAATTTAGAAAGGTAAGTTTATCGAGAAGAAATCTTTCTTTTTTGTCGGAGATCAACTTAAGAAGGTCGAACTCAATTTATTTTTATTTACGAAGTCTTGTAACCAACCTTTGATGTTAGCGAGTAGTATCGCTTCCCAAGATTGATTACAACGTCCCAAGCATTTGAAAATTACTTTTATTTTTCTTACATTTTCATCGGTAAGTACCTAGATGTAAGATGTAAATTGAGAAAACAAGTAAATGAAGCATTATAGTTAAGTCGATTTTACAGGCAAGAGCATTTGACATTTAAGCTAGAATTAGGTACCTACATTAAGTTTTATGAAACACTCACTTTATACATTATGGAAAATAAAAAATAAAATGAAATGACTTTGAAATAAAATATAGAGAATTAACGAGAGAAATTTGTATATACCTACTTTAGTCGAATTATTTTCAGTCTGAAGAATAAATATATCTTTCATTCGCACTGGACTGATAGAAGAGATTATATAAACGACTCACAATTTTTTTATATCGTTAAATCTTGTTTTTCTATTGTTGGTGCATGATATAAAAGTTTTAATATAACAGCATGTATAATAGATATAATAAATGCAAATACTAAAAACGGATCTTGTGAGAGAAGTGAGCCTCTTGCTGACTAACTAACCATACCCACCAGTTCGACGCCACCGACGCTTCTCGTTAGCCCCGCTAACTCTGTCACCACGCATTCATAGCAGCAATTACAAAGAGCGCTAGAGTGATATATATTTGATCAAGTGTCAAGTGCTAATATCTAGAGCTTCTTAATTGTAGGTCATAACCCATCAAACTATACTGACGTATATTCTTAATGGGATAAGTAAATATTTTAATGCAAGAGTTAATTTAAACCATTTACTTATTTACTCCCATTATGAGTATTTAGTTTCTTTTGGCTTCCGCATTTGTTTGGCTTTTGTATTTTTGTTCGTTTGGCTTCCGCAGTTCACACCATACCGCGTAAACCTCCACCAAGATTCTTAGTATAACACTTAGTATTTGCATTTCATTACATATAATAAAATTCAAATGCTTAATAACTGTTGTTATTATGTTTAATATCAGCTCATTTCCTTAAAGATAAAGTGTGACCAAAATATTTACTGATAGACAAGTCTGTCATCTGAAGGGATCTTCGGTATACATGGCTTGAAACCAATCAGTTCCAAGAAGGTCATGACCTCCTTCACTCTACCTAAATCTAAAGCTATAAATATAAAAATATTTATAAGTACAGGAAAATTATTTAATAAAAAGAATTCATCAGAATACAGTAACTTGTGTGATCCATCTAATCATTTCGACTATCAGGTGTTTTGACCCTTATAAACGTGCAAAAGCTATATTTGACACCAGTCTGTGTTAAAGTCGGTTAATATAATAATAATAATATGTTATTTGAAGCTTTTGTGGTCATTTACATTAAAATGATAGTTTTTTGACGGGATTGCTACCATATACCCTGTTTCTGTTGAGTTCCTGATATTTTAGCGCTACTGAAGCTCAGTAACTCCTTGATCATAACTTTCAACAGCCCCGAAAAGAACAAGGTGCATGGTAGCAATCCCGTAAAAAAAATATCCTTCCTAATAAAAATGACCATGAGATATTTAAACAAAATATTGTTAATATATTCGTAAACTTTAACAGACTGGTGTGAAACATAGCTTTTGCATATATATAAATTGAAATACTTTTATTACTGCATAGCAATATAAATAATTATACTGCGCGCATCGTCCTCGAGATTCATCATCGTCATCACCATCAGCCCTTTTACGTCCCCACTGCAGGGGCTCAGGCCTTCCTTATGGATGGTTAAGGAGGATGGGCCATGAACCTCCACGCTGGCCCAATGCGGATTGGAAGGTATTAACGAATACAATGCAGCCGGGACCAACGGCTTAACGTGCCTTCCGAAGCACAAAGCAGCTCGAGATAATAATTTTTTGGCCACCCATCCCGTGACCCTTGCGAAAGTTGCTTAACAACAACGATCGCGGGGCGCGGTGCTTACTCTCTACGCCACAGAGCTACTTCCTCGAGATTAGTGTGTCTTTAATATTTTAACAACATGTAGGAAAGCATAAGTGATACCGCTTTACACTGTGGTTGAGAGATTTTTGTTTTTTATTTATTTATTGAAGGTAGTCATTAGCATTCTAGTGCTCCACCACTCAACACATTATTCCATATAGTATTAAGATTGCTTTCAAGATGCTTTAGAGGATTTAATGCGTAAAGTAAAAAAATATAAATATAAATACGCCACAAGAGGACCTCTGACGAAAGTTATTCTCAAAGTGGACACCTACTTGTAATAACTTGTATATTTAGATAAACTTCCCAGAAAAACTATAAACTTTTTACTTATATAATTATTGGTGAACCCCTATTCTGGTCCACCAGTTTCAATTGGATTTAAAGTGGATACTATGCATATGCAAACACGATTAAATAAAGATTTTACAAAATTTATTTATGTTTTGCAAGAACACCGAAATAGAAGTGACGTAAAAAAACAATAGACATGGACAGCTAATCACAAAAACATTGTGTCAAAAAATAGATCAGAAGAGTAAAATTGTTCTATAAAAAGAATTTTATAGACGAGTAAAAACTCCTTGCTGTAACAATAATATTTACAGAATTAAGAATAATAATAATATGAAATCTCGTAATGAGGAAAGTCAAAGTCAAAATAATCTTTATTCAAATAGACTTCTTAAAAGTACTTTTGAATCGTCCAACATTTTTTCCCTTAGGAATATCTATAGGAATAGGAAATTATTATAAAGTCCCCAACATGGTAAAAAAACTCCATGGTGCTAAACAAACAATTATTCTCATATTTTTCTATTATCGTAGTGACATTAACTATAAGATGGGTTGGAGATGTAATTCCAATACCTTTTGAAATCATTTTAGGAGTTAATAGTTGCAATTTATTGTAACCCGATGCTATTTTAAGTAATAATTAAAAAAAAGTAATTGGACTGATTATATCTATATCACAATTTGCAACTGATAAATATGCTGATCTTTTTATAGAATAAAAATAAAAAATAATAATAATATCTACAATAATATCTACAATACTAGTCTTGAGAACGAAGGGCGAAGTATAATTGGTAATTAAACGAACTTATTTTTGTACAGTTCTATGAGGAACTTAACTTTGTACAGTTCTATGATAATTATACGAAGCGCTTCGTCCGAATAGATTAGTATGCATTCCGACCCACCCTTATCCTGTGGAGTCCTGCCTCTATATGGAAGTGTCAGTAAAATGACTACACAAAATAATAATAATAAAACACAATAACAATGAATTAATGGCACTCTAAACGACTCGTCCAAATCACGTATGCGTTACTACTTGTTGTAATAACATTAAAGGAATAATAATTACGAGAATGAAGCACTTTATATAATTATAATAAAACTTCACAAAGGTAAATTCGTTTAAAACTAAATTCGTTTAATTTCTAATAATAGCTAAAATACGTTAGCTCCAAATTACGCCGTTAAATAAATGTTTTTAATTGTTGTGCACTTATACAAGTTTAATATATGTTTAAAACCTCTTTGAGTAATTAAAAGTCTATGAACAGTAAGTTGTTTTATTTTAATTATCACTTTGCTATACACCAACAAATATCCATTAGCAAAATTGATATACATTTTCATTGCTGCTTGCACCGTAACATATTGCTATAAGATATTTTGCGTCAAATAAGGTACGGTCACAAAATATTTCAGTTAATGATTAGAAAGGCGAGTTTTTATGATATATTTTTTTATATCATACAATAAAAAATATCATTAGCCAATTGATGTCAATTTTTGTAAGTACATTGATTCAGTAAGAAGTTTTTTTTTTTATTAATTATGAACTATGTCTTATGGATGATAATTTAATGTTATTTATTATTAGTGATCAATATTTGTTTGTTTGTTTTATATCATATTGTGTATGACTTGCCTGTGCTTTGGAGATTGTCTGTAAACTGATATGATGATAAATAAATAAGTAAAAGGGGTAGAATAAATAGCCGATTTTTTTTATTTTAATTAGCAGTAACGTAGATTTGCAAATGATTTAGATGACCAATCTGTTAAAAACTTTCCTCAAGTTTATTATTCTTCAATTTAATATTGGAATCTTGTCAATGAGATAGATAAAGATCGACGATTTTGGCCTTTAAACCATTTTTATGTACTCTTAAACAAAAACAAAATTGTAAAAGCTCTCTGCTACAAAGTATTTCCCAGTATAATTGAGAGAAGAAATTCAAAATTCAATAAACAATCAAAACCGATGCCTCTCTGTTCGGCAAAACAAAACCAATTGCCGCCACCATTGTTGACGGAGACCTGAAACCGATAACAATAAATCACATAGGATTAATTGGATTAATCGCAACATTCGATACCTACGTTTGTTACCTTTTAATTAATGGCTAAAGGGGTAAGGGGTGATTTTTGGTGACGTTTTTAACGAGCTTACGAAGGCTTATTGAAAACATTAACATATTTCTTTTTTTGCAATTTAAACAATGATCCGTAGTCTTGGAAAATATTGCAGTATTTTGTGGGTCGATTTTATACTGTTCCTGACTATAAAAAATTGAAATATTTGGTACTATTGTTGTTTAATTATCTTAAATGGCTGTCCCATTAGCAACAGGTGGATACGTTAATGCCAGACATAGTGCCATTGGGAAAACTTGTTCACAGTTAGAACGACAGTTGCGCAGTTTTGTATTGCTCGTGTACTACTTGTTGCAAATTATTAGATATTCACTCAGTTGCACAAATGTCCATTAAGGTTTAATGGCATTTTTAAGCTTTAATGAACGTTAAATAATGGTATTTAGTAATGTCGTTTTAAACTAATGACAATTTTGATGGAAATTTGTACAACTGGCTGATTAACACTTTACCTTTATTTATTTTTTATCTTTGGTATTTATAAAGTGTAGTTTATTTGGTAGCTCACTGAATTCAGCTACTTATCGATAAAGCATACTGGAAGGTTGAGGCGATGGTTTTTTATCTTCCATACAACTCAACTTGCATGTTGACTAAATTATTTACAAATGTGAATAAATATAAATTAACAATTGAAGTACCTATTACCCTTAGCGCCGTAACATTAGTCCAATTCAAAATAATACTAAAAATATACTATAGAAGTTGGTCTCTTTTCTACCTGAATAACTTTACTGTTTTTGTCCACAGAATATCCATGATATTCCAAGTGCGGTCAGCAAAGGCAGTGAAGATATCGGATATGTACCTGCTCCGGCGCATCGGTGTGATAGTGGGGGTGGCGTGCGTTCTATTGGCTATTCGGACTTTAGTGGCGCCCCCTGCTGTTATAGTGGGTAGGACGAAAGATGACCTGAAGGCGTATTTGTGCAATACTGATTGGTGGGATCATTCATTTACCACTTGTGAGTACCATTTTGGATATGATTTAATTTTTTATTATTATTTAAATGTGGTGTCTAACTGTATTGTGGAAACTCTATAATTTTAGTTTATTAGATCTCAAAGTGTATCTGTGTTGTTTCTGCGACTTTATCTAGTAACTATAATTTAACTGACTTATGGATACCATTACAATGTGGTATCGCTATTTCCATCTTACAAGGATATGTATAGTTGTGCGGTAGGGGTAAACTTACGTTATCGTTAAGTTAATGGCAGATTGTAAATTTTACTATCTTTTGACCTTATTAATGTTATTGAGAATTGTTGTAATGTTATAAATAATAATACTTATGTAATAACGGTTCTATTTGTTAGCATTTTAAAGTATATAATGAAAGAAATTGATAATTTTTGTCAATTTGTAGACAGTTAGAAACCTACTGGTCGATTTGAATTGGAATTTAATTTGGAGTCTCTTCTAACAAAATCTATTTTGTGATTTGTAGTTATTTATCTACAAAGAGGTGACAGTACAATTTTTTTATAAACTTACGCACAATTTTCATTATTTATTTTTCTCTGATTATAAGAACAATTTATTAACTTTCGGTAAATATATAAAAACTCAAACTACTTTTATATCCTTAATAAGTAAGTACCTATAGAAAAAAAAAGTAGGTTGAGTTATAATATTCGATGAAAACTACTTAGTTTGTGCACTTGTGCGTTCACGTAAAAATAGACATCGGTGGCTTGATATATCATATTATGAACGCGCGACTGTAGCACGACAACTACACACTATCATATGTATGGATAACAATCTGGACGACTCAAGCGCTACAGTAGACTCAACCTCCTGTCCGTAAAACAGTCTGATATCAATATCTATCCAAGCTAATTAGATTTATATCAAACAAAAATTCCAAAGCTTAATTTCGTATTATATATCCGTGATCATTAAATACAAGCTCGGCGATGCTTATTAATGAAGGCAGCGTTATAAACATAGATTGGCGTATCCTTGATTATTGTTTATCAACTTTGTTAGTCAAACATAATATTAGCCCGAGGTGTAATGTGCTGATCTTCGAAACCACAAGCAAGATCTATAGCTATTACCTAACTATAAGCGCTACACAAAATTCACATATGTCTTTGTATTCTATAATCACACACGGTAGAAAGTCTTATGATATATGAGATATAGTTACATTTTCTCAGCCGCCACTTTGATAGAGCCCCGACTATGTAAAAACTGTGTCTTAGATTACCAGAAGTTCAGATACATCTAATTAACAAGATTTCACTAGAATGAACGTGATTCGATAAGTTTTAGTTTAAACTATTGATTTACTATGATTAATTACAAATTGATTATATCTATACTTCGACATTAATATAATAAAGATTTGATTTGATTGTTTGTTTGCAACGAATAGGCTCTGAAACTACTGGAACGATTTAAGAATTCCTTCAACTACATCACGAGCGTAGCCGCTGGCCAAAAGCTAGTACTCAAGTAAATAGGAAAAAAAATGTTTTGAGAGTATTTATTACAAATAGGGCTTCAGTCAAAGTATAGAATTACAGTTACTTTTAATTTTGAAAGAGGATAAGTTATCTCTGCAGTGCTATACTTAGAAATATCTTTTTTTTTGTCAAAGGAAGTACTGCATATGTGTTACGATCAGCAATATGATATTAAGCTGTCGTTATGAGTCTCCTAAGATCAATCTGTTTTCGAGGTATTCTTATAATTGAATTTAGATACCTTCCTGTCGAAAGTAACTGCTAAGACGTGAGCCTAACTTTTTTAACATCGGAGAAATACTTCTGGCGCTGTCTCTGTTACCTTGTAAGCAACAGGAGGTGAGTAGGACTCTCCTCTATGAACCCACCTGGTAGTGAGCTGCCTAATGGGTCCGAAAGGCCTGCTCACCTGCCCACTCCTCTGCTAGCCTTGAAAAAGTGAACCTAACCTGATAAAAGTTTAATATAGAAATTATACGTGCGTTTACTGCAAACTACTCAATGCTTAATTGCAACAGCACAACGCTCTTTTCACTTAATCTACTCGCGTGATCGTATACCACGTGTCCATTATAAGCTGAACCCTATTTAATATGGTCAAATATAATCGAGGCTAATTTAGAATGGAGAATCCAAATTCTTGGAAACTTATTTTTTTAATTATTATCTTACAAATTATCATTTTACAGACAATACGTAACTTGGTAGCGCAATGAACAAGCGCAGCTGCCCGCGATTGTTGTTCTTGAAATTTTACACTAACTAAACAATATAATTGTTGTTAATATAATAATTGACTAAAAATTTTTAAATAAAGGATGTAAAAGAGCTAGTCATGATGATTAATACATTGAAGACAAAAATTTAATAAAGTAGTTAATTACATAGCAATTTTGTCGAATGCAATACTTCAAGTTGACATAACTTTTTTATTTATGAACCGAATGAAATAAACCGTGCACTAAATGTTAACAGAACATTACCACAACACAATAATGAAAACGCCATTGAAATCGGTTCAGCCGTTTCTGAGATACCCGGTACAAACGCACAGACAAACCGACAAATAGTAAATTAAAAAAAAAAACATCGTTTTGTGTTCTATCACGTTTATAAATGTCCTAGGGTCATAAGTTTTTTCATAAATCTTCAATGTACAGACATCGATCAGTTAACATTTTTATTATAGTAATACAAATCCTTCGCCAACGAGAAGCTACCATTACACGCGGGTGAATTTGTTGCAGACATTCCATTGTCTGAGTTTTCCTCTTAAATTGAGACGATCAAATCAACCGGACATAATTAAAAGATAAGTCACAACTCCAAATTATGATTTATTAACATTTAATTAATATTAATTAGAAATTCTAGAACGTCATTATTGTTTAGAAAACATTTCAGACTCATTAGAAATATTTATCAAACAGATTGAAGACGTCAAAATGAAGCGATGGTGGCTTAATAATTAATTAAGAAATATATATTAAGTAATTATAAATTAATTTTTGTTGCTAACTATATAACTGTTGCCGGTTCTTATTGAAATTATCGTAGCTTTTTTTCTTGAAATGTTGTTTTTATTGAAAATTATTTAAAGTTTCTAACGCAGTAACTAACTACTGAGCTCTGTAGATGAAATACCAATTAAGAATACTGAATAGTGAATAAAGGCATTTCAAAATATGGTATTTAAATGTATGTGGGAAACGGAACGGTAGGTTAGTATGAAAGAGATAGTAAGTTGAGTGTATGCGTGAGGAGTGAAAGAGATAGGAAATAATTTAAAATAAAGTATGGAAGGAGATCGAGCGAGGAGAACGATTTGAACGACGATACGGTGTGCATGTATTTTTTTTATTAAGAAGTGAAACGAGTTAAAATAAACGACGATTTGCTGTAATCCTTCTGTTTTATTCCGCCAATCCCACATGTATTTATTGACGGGGTCCCGCCTTTATCAGAATCAGCCATGGTGTGATATATGGGTTAGGAGGGTAGAAGTAGAATAATGAGTCAATCGCAATATAATGTACTCCAACAAAATATCTCCTTAACACAATTTGATGAAAATTAATACACTGGTAGATAACTTTAATTAAATCAATTTGAATTATTAGAATCACTATTAGTTTTCGGATTACGAGGAACAAAAGCGATTTGTTCGGTTCGAGGCTCGATTCGCCGTTACGTCAGAAAAACAACTGACGTTCAACATCGCGGTGACGACCATCGACACGAACACTCCGTCAGACTGACAGATATGTCAGATCTCGTTCAGTCACAATCGTAATTTAAAGGATGGCGCTGGCAACGCGCCATCATATTTATAATTATATTTATTTGGGCAATTTCAATCAATACCTATACAATATTATTGCTTAAATTGATGAATAATACGAATTATTCTACTTAACAATCTGTTTTTTAAACTTAACCCTCGTAAACTATAGCCTAGCTTCTCGTAGATCAAACAAATTTCATTATCGTATCAGTACCTCCGAAGATTACCTCCTACAAATAAACAAAGTTAGAAACTTTACCTCTTTACTACTAGCTTTCGCCCGCGACTTCGTCCGCGTGGTAAAGTTACTTTGAGCAGCATTTCTAACGAATATTCATTCATTATACCGTGTTAAATATTCTGAAATAAACTTTCATCCCCCGTTTTATCCCCTTGGGGATAGAATTGATCAAAATCCTTTCTTAGGCCTTCGGCAGCCCGGTCCGTCCAGTAGTTATGGCTGTGCGTTGATAGATCACTATGTCAGTCAGTCACCTTTGAGTTATATATGTATACATACTCGTACATTTAGATACCTATGAACCTGACTTGAAAGAACTCGATTAGAATGACAATTTTCCAACTCAAAATGTCAGGAAAATCCGACAACTCTGCCTTATAAATTGTATTATTGTAATTTATTTTGCGTCTAATAAAGCGCACTGATTTTGATCGCTGACATTCTAAATAGCCAAATAGAAAATATATAACCGCAACAACCGATTAATAAGGAGAGAAGAGTCCAAAGTTTGGGTCTTAATACTTCAGCGGTCAAAAACAGTGGGTCATATTAGCCAAGAGTACATTATTTGTTCTGATGGTATTAACTGTTACTTATTTATATAGTGGAAGTGATCTTCCTCATGTGGGGCATCAGGCTGTGCATCATGGTGCGGAAGGCGCCATCGGAGTTCAACGAGAGTCGTTTCATCTCCATGGCGATCTACAATGAGTTTTTACTCTCTGTTTTCCTTAATATATCAATGTAAGTAATTATAATAGAATAGATAGATATATAATAGACTCCTATATTGATTTAGAAGTCGAACCCGAGTTGGACCCGGCGGACTCGTTGTTGAATCGCGATTCTTCCCCCCAAGAGGGTACTACGTAGCGGGTCTTACCAGGTTGGCTGGCTTCGCTTAAGCCTCTCCTTGTCAGAGAGGGTGCGGGGTCAGAGAGCCGTAGTTTAAGTCTACATTTACCCTGCGTTATCAAAAAAAGAGTCGAACCCAGGATCATGAGACCTCGATGATCGAGTGTCCGAGTCATTATTGAAAATCAGGCTTTTTTGTTACAAGCACTTATGAAAGTTGAACTACACCATCTATTCGTAAGTCTATGGCTAACGAGCTTCTCAGTAGAAGGTTGTGCCTGAACTGACAAGAAACTCTGCATATCCATAATTTCGTATTCTTTTGACCATAATTTCGTATGCTGCAAAATTTTAAAATGCAATGACTCGCTCTATCTTTCACTCAGTTGCATTTAATAAGGTACATACATAATAACGTAACGTTACGTTACGCATACCAAGGTTTAGTCCCTTTATACAAAGGAACTTGAGATAATAATTTTTGATCACCCACCCTATGACCGACCTTTGCGAAAATTAACTTAACTTCTGCAATCGCAAACTTAAGGTGTGAACTACTGCACCATCACGATCGTCTCTAATTAGATTATACACCATAAATTACTTTCGAATTTATCGCGTTAAAATATATAATTGACGCAGAGCAACCTTGTTCGATATAATTATTGTATAAGGTTGATCAAATACCTCGCCCAAAGGCGCAATATAAAGCGCATTCGTTCTGAGATTACTGAGTTTCAAGAATTGGATTCGTGAAAGTGTGATCAAAAATTCATTATATCGAGCTGGAAATGCAGACATTTACATTTCATACCGTACTTGACCCACATTAGGCCATGATGTTTCTCTCCACACTACTCTCATAGTCAGAACGTCTGATGTTATGACATTTATATTGTACCCATAAATTAATACGAGGGTCAAACTGAAAGTTCTTAGAAAATCAAAAACTGATTACATTAGCCAGTTATTAGTTTTATTATATCTTTTCAAAATATTGTCCATTCACGTCAATACACCGCTGCATGCGATGGAACCACTGGGAAAAGCACTTTGCCCACTCGTCCTTAGGGGTCTCTTCAATGGCATCGCGATACGCAGCCACCGCTTCTTCAGCATTCATAAACCGCTTTCCTTTAAGTTTTTCTTTAATTTTTGGAAATAAATAAAAATCACAAGGCGCGAGGTCGGGCCTATACGGCGGGTGACCCAGTAATTCAACGTTTGATGTCGTCAAATAGTCGATCGTTCGCTTGGCGGTGTGCGACGAGGCGTTGTCGTGGTGAAGGAGGATCCTACTGCGAGGTCGTTTCTCTCGAACTTTTTCCAAGACAAGTGGCAAACAATTGGTAGTGTACCATTCTGCAGAAACTGTTTTTTGATCCTCTAACACAATTGTTGCAAAATGACCTATCCTTCCAAAGAACGAGGCCACCATTTTTTTTCCCGCACTTCGATCTCTCTTCACTTTAGTTGGCAACTCCTCGAAAGGAAACACCCACTGAGCAGATTGTCTTTTGGTTTTAGGATCATAACAGTAAATCCAGCTTTCGTCACCTGTTAGTATGTCGAACACAGCATTTGAGTCACCTCCGTTAAATCTTTCAATCATTTTACGACACCAATCCACACGATGGAGTTTTTGAGCCTCAGTCAAATTATGAGGTATCCACCGGGCGCAAAGCTTCCTGACCGCTAAATGTTCGTGGAGGATTTTGTGCACTTGACTCATACCGATGCCTAAGCTTGTCCGAATCTGTTGATAGTTGTTGGATTATTATATTTGTTAGTACATTATGGTTCTTTTTTATTTCTAATGTTTTGTATTAAGGCAAAGGTGAGTGTGACTAGTGTATACATATTGAGCATTCATCTCCTCAGCTTGCCAAATTGTATAAAAATATTGAAGCTGGTTAATTATATATTTTAAAAACTTTTTAATACGATTAGATTAAATTAGAGAAATAATGTTTTATTACAGCACAAATTTTAAAATGGAGTTCATAACCATTTACCATATTTACCCCCTTTTCTCTTTCTTTTTTGTAACCTACAAACCCAAATGTATGTAACCCAATGTACCCAAAGATTAATGACCTTTTTTTGTCATTATTATCGATCAATGATATAATTAACCTTAGGAAATACAGTGATTGCGAGCTTATCCTGTAATATATTCAACTTACAAAATATTATTTTTTATCAATTGAGAATTTTACTGTATATCAATAAGTTGCACAATCGTCCATTAAAATTGTCATTAGTTTAAAGAGACATTACCCATACAAATTTGACATTTATAAGAACTTAAAGGCGTCATTAAAGATTAATAGACTTACTTGCAACTTACCGTATATGTGCTAATATATTATTATATTGTTTAAAGTACATTCCTCTTAGGACTGGTTAGGTCATGATGTTTGTTTAGACACTCAATAACGAGAGGTTTTAAGCTCCACTGCGTTTTCTATTACTACGTGAATCCCAGAACGTCTTTAATTATAAATTAATTAAAACCTTTTCAAACCAAATCAGCGCAGTTCTAGTTTAATCAAGTCGAAAGGGAAAAAATCGGTTAATTTCCTCAGCCCGGGTGGGCCAACTTTAGAACGGCCACGGGACCAATTTCAATTTGCTTAATAGGATAACCCTGGATTAGGGATTGTCGAGAAATTGATATAATTATACCGGGACTTTGTTTTGACGTTACAAACAAAATAGAATTATGCCGAGACCAAACACTGTGGAGATAAAATGTCTTTCCAATTTACAATGAAAGCATGAAACGGGACGGCAGATTGGTTTTGTGCAAAGTTCACAAAACATCTTTTGAGAATTGTGATCATCCATTATCCATTTACTTTTATTCATTAACATGATATAAAAGAGGGAGGTTATCTCAAAATACCTGGTGCAGCGTTAGCTACACCGTGCACTTTAAACCAAACCGCGCAAAAGTGGCGGGCGGAAAGAATTTTAGAAATCGAATCTCTGCACCGAATCTTCTTAATCTTATGTAACTTGAAATTTTTATTTGCAATGTGGAAAGAAAATACATTTCGTTCATCTTCTTCGTCTCTGATTGATCCGTTAACAGCCTTAGACTACGCGCGTACTAGTGATTTTCACTGTGACTTATTGTAACATTCACTGTGCACACGTGCTTTTCTATAAAAGTCACCGAATTGTCACGTGTTCAAATGCGCGCGCTACTGCAAGGATTCTGAAGCACGGGGAGCCAAAATATCACTAGTGTACACGAAGTCTTACTAGCATCCTACACAGTATTTACCGAGCTGTTAGCTAGGATTGATTTTTAATTCAAAAATAACTGTCAGTATTAATAAAAAGTCGAAAACTTCAATTTTATATTGCCTACACTTTGAACAACCTCGGTTCTCAAAGTCCAATTCGAGGGAGTACTTCAAAAAGGAATCAACTTTTGTATACAACAGGATTTATTGGATAGCTGGCAAATTAAACCACCATAAACTTATATCATTCCAAAAGAATGCAGATGATAGCGAAAAAGGTATAACGCCATCTTACCTAAAATCGTATGCCAAATAATTTAAGTCGTTTTACACACATTGCACTATAATTTTATAGTAGAACAATATTGGTATTATTAAATTTATTATCAATACCATGCTCTGTTCTCTATATTATATAGGGTCTCTATTTTATATAGGTCAGTTCTAATGTCTTTGATAAAATCGTAATGTTCTTTGATGGAGAGTCATAGTAGTCTATGAAGGAATAGAATCAATTTGAATGGGGAAAATGGGCTATGACCCATCGCAGACTCAGTGCAGAATGTTGGGTGTTTACGACTGCAATTGCAGGCGGGATCGATCGCTTAACATGCCTTCCGAAGTACGAAGGATCTCGAGATACTAAGTTTTTGACCACCCATCCTATCGACCGATCCTTACGAAATTAAATCACTACGCCACTGAGCTTCTTTCAATATGCTGACATTATTAATTTGTACCTTCTATGATACATAATTTTGTAAAATATCTGTAATACGATAAACTTCATATGTAATAAGATACATAACATACCCATAGTTATCATCATATTTCCTACTTAATTATTTGCGTTCTGTAAAACGGTACACAATGCCTCTACATCATTCTGCATGAGACTACCTCGCTGTTTTATTTTTGATTTATTTATTTTATATTAATTTCCATTATTTCTTCAACAAAATATTAAAATTGTTGATGATTATGTGTTCACAGGGTTTTTATATAGGGTTATTATTTTGATTGCTGCTCAAGCTAAGCATTTGAAAATACCTGTACTTCAGGCCCCCAGGCTCACTGCCTAGTAGTTAAAATACATTTTACTTTAACATTAAGACAGTATTTGAAAACACCAAATATTTATAAATTTCTTTCCTTTCTTGCTATTGCTTAAAGAATTATTGAATTTAACTATGAATTCAGCTTTCTGAACAGGTTTATTTCTATAAATCAAAAAGTAATTTGACTTTCTTAAATCACTCTGACAGTTAAATTTTTCCAAAGATGTCCTACTTTAACTACTTAATTGATTTAAAACCAGAAAACTTCCAGTGTTTGCTTTATAACAAAGTCAAATAACTGTTTCCGAACAACGACGTAAACAATACAATATTTAATGCGATTTTCGTTGAGAAACTTTCTAATTTCAAGATTTATTTAGGAGACCGCCGCTAACCGAACTGAGCATCTTTTCAGTTCCGACGACTTCAACTTTATATTTCAATAAATAATTGCGCTCTACTTCATCGCGCACGAAACATAAATCAGAATAAACCTCTAACTTTCGTAGCTTGTAATTTATTACCGCGCCAAGGAACAATAGTTGTTACATAATGTTCATAAGACTTTTCACAAATTGGAGTAACGTGTTGTTGTGGCATTCTTTCTTGTGTAGAGAATCCCAAGAAACATTTGGATACTTTATATTAATTGAAAAAATTATCAGAGTCAGTTTTAAACGTAATAAGAGATAATTCTGCAATGTTATCGAGTTATCAAGACATCATCATCTTTTTCCTATGGTCCCAATTTATTTATGTCAGTGTAATAATATGTTGTTTACTTGTATTCTTTGTTCCAACATCATCTCATCATGAATCCTCTTGACTGTCAGATCATCATGCAGTTTGTTCACCTTTTCTTTGGTCTTCTTTTTGCTCTCCGTTTAATAACCCCTGTTTGATGTAGGTGATTATTTTTTTTTTCAAATCTTAAAAGTTCCATTCCCAATGAAATCTACGAGTGAGACAAAAGATATATAAATACTTGAAAAATATCAAAAATTCCATTGCCATAATCTTACCCTGGAAATAGTTCACAACAACTTTGTTGCGGTAGCTATATTGTTTCCAGTTCACCTGCCTACATAGTTCGTGACAAGAATTTTGCAAAGTTTGGGCGCAATATGCTGGCCTTTGTTGAAACTATTTAAATTGAAGTTCTAAGTCATAGCTGCTTTCACACTGGCCGCTTTGAAAAGAACCCATTTTACTTGAATATCGCATTGTAATTTTAAGAGAAAACTTATACTGCGTGTTATATGAAATTTGGTTGGCACAGTGAGATGCATAATAGCAAACCGATCCAGATACAAAAAAATAGACTGAACTAGTAAAACAAGTCCCTTGCCGACCAATCCACCACCAATGGTTACTATTGGCACACCCCTCGTGTCTTCTGCTTGTCGTCCAACCAGACTTAAATACTTTTGTATATGCTTAAGTGTCGCCTCTTCAAATCTTTACTATATAATAATATAGTAATGATGTTCTAAGGATGGCGCATGGAAAGAATGCCAAACGTAATAATACTGAAAATAATACAGAACCATTAAAATGTAAGAAAGTAGAAGTCGAGGAAGGTCAAAATGCACCTTCCACAATCGATTGATCCCATATTGATCTAAGAAGCCAAAAAAAACGCCAAATGAGTAATAAAAGTCTATGATGCGAAAGATATATGTGAAAATCGTGACTTGTGGCATGGTTATGGCTCTTGGCTAATTCTGATTATAAATAGAAAGAGCCCCTTTAAAGGATACTACTGCCATTATATTACTTTTGTCTGTATCCAAGCGACTTGTAGATCAGTTTCAGACATTTCATTGATAAAACACATATTTCCCCTTGACAGATAACTTGAATCTATCCATTCAAGTTATCTGTCACGTAAAAAAAAGGCAGTGCAGATTATTACTATTTAGACCCTATACTACTTATTAGAATAAAGCAAACACTTGGTCGATTTCAATAAAACAAATATTATTAAATCTTTGTTATTGCAAAATCAGGTGATTTTGTTTACAAATCATGTGAAAATGCAAAAACAAATATTAATTTTTCGTTACATACGTATTTCCCTGCGGATTTGTAACTCATCTTTCTTTTTCAGGTTATTTCTGCAATCACCAGCGAATCCAGACCTCTTGTATATAATATTCTTCTGCCACACGCAGCTCACTGTGACCCTGCTGCTGTGTTTCATCTTTGGGAGTAAGGTAGGCACGGTAAGGGAATTTAGGGACCAAGGTCTTGGGCGAGTAAATGGTAATTAAAATCTCACACTTGTACTACTTAAAGCACTACAATATTTAGCTTATTATAGTTAGTTTTCCTTATTTTTTAACTAAAAATAGATAAATAAATATGATGTTATGCCTTCAAATATGATGTTATGCCTTCAAATGCGTAAAAAATATTGTAGAACATATTTTATGTGATGGAATGTTTAGCTGACAAAATATAATACAATTTCATATTTATTTGTTGATGGTACCTCATGACGTCATTTGTTAATGGTCGTCGATGACCACTTTTAAATCGAACGACTAGTTCTAAACTACATCAGTGTTATGACACGTATAAATGTCGTTACTTCTCATAAAAATCTGGTAAAGTTATTCTTGTCAGCCAAAAGATATCCTGACCGAGCGGTAGGGTTTTTTTAACCTTATTAAAAACTTATTCATATTAAACATTATTTCATAGTTATTTAAATAAAATATTTTATTTCATTTTCACGCCACACATTAATTATAATTGAACCACTAGTTCTTAAATGTAAAGAAAAAATGATCTATCTCAAAATTTTTCAAAAGAAGTCACGATTAACTAAATCATTCTATTTAATAACGGTTAAACAAAAGAATTCTGACATGTTCTTGAAATAAATAATTCTATACTAATATAATAAAAAGAAAAGATTCGATTGTTTGTTTGCTTCGATTGGCTCCAAAACTACTGGACAGATTTTAAAAATTCTTACACCTACAGGAAGTTATACCGCCTGGTGACAAAGGCAGTAATGGGAGCTAAGTCGTGGGAAAATAGCCAGTTCTTAGTAAATATGTCGTTAAGACATTATTAATTAAGGAAATCTATGAAATACAAAATATAATTACTAGCCAAATTCGCATGCCCACGCTTCGCTGTGAGTGTTCTTCGGGGAACGTTGACATAATAATTTTAACAAGAAAGAGATTTTCTTTGTGAAAGTAAATAAAAGTAAGCTGTATTACATAGTATCGTGAGTAATTAATTGAAAGCTCTTAAAGTACAGTAAGTTACATTAAATAATTATATACCTATAATATAAAATATAGCATTCTACTTGCGAAATATTTTTTTAAATTAGTCGAGTTATATTTGAGATTTTAATAAGCGATACCTTATACCGATACCGATTTTAATAAGCGCGCGTTGTAATAAGCCATAACTTGTTTCGTGCTAAAATACTTCGCTTTATATTCAAAATTTACTCACACTTGCATAACACCGATAGAAATGCCATCTTATGCATGGGCGAGTAAAGTTTGGATAGGAATAAAAGTACTATATCATGAAATTTCAAAGGTAAGTCTTTTTACAACGCAGGCCTTAATTGCCAGTTGTCTTACATTTATTTCGTGTTAATGTTATTGAAAAAAAACTGTTTCACTGATCTTGATGAAATTGACAGTGTTATTATAATCAACTTAAGAGACAGGAGGGTTTCTGCCGCGATATATATATTTTTAATTTCATGTAATAATAACAAAATTACATTCTAATGATATCATAAATATTGAGTTTCGATAGTTAAGCATTATAGTATTATTTAAGTCCAGCATATAATAAAACTTGCAAAGGCGTAGCAAAATATAAATAATATTAAACAATCAAGTTCTTATTTTATCGCTGTTACAATATAAAGGATTTTAATTATACACATGCTCTAAATAAAACTGAAACAACTACTTTTTCAACGATTTTTCTTATAAAAGAAACAGATCAGACTCTAAAATCTGTTTGTTCCACGAGCTATAGAAACACTTTCTGAATACTCAAATAGGTGGTATGTTTTTAACGTTTGCATGTTAGGACTAAGTATTTGGAAGTAAAATCACTAAAAACAAGTTATGCTAATCTGCCTCAGTCCCTCGTTGCTGTCACCTAGAGCTGTTTTCGATAGTCACATTTGTATTTAGGGCGCAACTATTTATCTCGTTTTAGATAGATGTTACGAAAATGGAGAACGATAGTAAAAATATTAAGTAAAGTGTGCATACTCATTTTATTTATGTCCCTTCTATTTTATCTTAATCTAGCTTCTCGCCCGTGACTTCGTTGAACTTTACTAGACCATACAAACTTTGCGGAACTTTTTCACCCCCCTGGAGGTTGAATTTTCAGAATAAATAAAAGACCTTTATTTTTTACCAAGCAGCTTAATACCAATATTTATCGAATTAGCTTCAAAATTGACAGAATTTCAAATAAAGTAATTCCTCTTTTTAGCACCTTATGGGGTAAATATCCAAACACCCTTTCTTAATATTTCTTTCTTTATATCCCATCTCAGGGTGCTAGGGACCAAGTGGATTTTTTAAGCATTTTGTTTTAAGACTATTTTTCAGTATAGCATTGTGAATGCGAAATTGATCAAATATAGTAATTTATTTGTAAAAATATTAATTTATTTTGTGAATATGCCCAAAAAGCCATTGATATCTCTAGAGAGAAATAATGCTTTTAATGTTGAAACAAAACTTTTTGTATTTATGAATTGACCGGTCACTAGCAATGACGAGTCTTGATACTTATATTTTTAAAAGAATTAATCCGTAAATTATAATGAGGGAATATTAATTTGCTTGTCTGTTTACATTGGATTGGTTCCGAAACTATTGGACCGATTCATAAGCCTTTTGTCTATGGGAAGCTACTTATACTATAATAGGGATGATGACTGGGTAAAAAAAATGCAATTCTATTTAGTCCGTCAGTCAGATAATAGAAAAATATTAGATACGTATTTTTTTTTACTTCAATTTAACAAGAAATAGTATAGATAACAGGCATTAAAGTTGAGGAGTGGGGGCTCGCTACGTCACAGTTAAGTAGAAAACGTACTCTAACGTGACGTCATGCGAAATTTCAACTCAATGTAACGCCGTAATTTTATTTACGAAAAAAATAAAAAAATACGTGTTTAATATTTTTTAACACTCTACCTGACGGACAAACAAACAAAAATTAGTCATCATCCCTATTGACGCAGGCTAAGTGGCTGGGAAACAGTTTGAAAGAAATAGGTTCAGAAGTCAATAAAAACGTATATTAACATAACTAATTCATAAAAAAATATACCTACATACTCCTTGAACGTAGAAAATACACCAATCGGACTCCGAATGAATTACAATTAAGCAATCTTTTTTTTTTAGCTGGATATGGCCATGTCTTACCATATCAACTAAATATTTGGGTTATATTTGCTAAAAATCGTATTTTGTTTCGTTATAAATTTAAATGGTGGTCCCATTATGGTCGGACCATTAAGCTATCGGACAAAAAATAATTTTGAAACCCGGTTAACAATTGGCGGAAATATCGGTGAACATTCATTAATACATCGCCGTCAAAGTTATAACCTTAACATTAACCTTATGGATTTTGAGGTCGGTTAAAAATAAATCAGATTTGAAAGCGTAACAGCAGTTGCAATATTAGCAGAGATTAGGGATAAACAAACACATAAAGTAAAACTTGTTTTATTTGTCCGTGTTGGATTCCTAGTCCAGTAAGGTAAAATATTATTGGGTTTTTTAGGCCGGGTGCTGTCGCGTTAAAAGTTAGATGTTGGTAATATAGAGTGTACGTACAGGTGTATGTTGCTATATGACGTCCCACACAAATGGCTAATCTATATCAAAATTTGCCGAGATATGAAAATGGTCAGGAATTTTCAGTGCTATAAGGCAGTTATTGAAAAGTGTATATTATAATAAAGTATTACAAGTATCAAGATGTCTTTATCCTTTTTCCCAAATGTTGCCTTGTACAAATTAAAATTCCCTGAAATGCCATCAGATTCTGGTACACATATACCTACACTGATTCTGTTAATTCTGTGTGTTGGTTTCGTTTTCATATATTTGAAAGATGTGATTATATAACAACAACTGAGATTGTCATTAAATTAAGTTCGTGAACGATTTTATACTTTTCTTTTAATACTTAAGTATAAAAATCAGTCTAAAAAGGCAATGTAATATAAAACAAAGAGAAAAAAATTTTGTAAAAAGGCAATAAAAATCTTAACTACTGTTCTAAACATGTATCACCAGTAAAGTTTTATGTCGTAACTTCTCAGTTATCAGTACTCAGAATTTCATTTGAATTAGACTATATTTATTTATTTCAAAGTTTCCAACGGAACAGATGCCAATTAACTAAAAAATAAATAAAACCCTTTGTTATGAAAACCTAAAATAATAAAGATAAAAGAACACTAACCTATCTATCTACGATCCCATATCTCCTATATCCTATCTGATAGGTATATTTGCCAATTTGACCAGGAATTGAATTCAGGACCTCAGAGTGGCGACACTTCAAAATCGGTGTACGTGTAGCACAGCCACAGAAGTCGTCAAAGTCAAAGAAAGCAAGTGAAAAATAGACTTACATAAAATAAAGAAATTTAAATTTTACAACAAAATATGGAAAATTACTCTCTCGAAAATGGTCACGGATATTTGTACGCCATTCACACATAGAATGCTTACAAAATATTGGTATAAATAAATCAACGTGTGTGCGAACGGAATTTCCAATTTGAATTCCTGATTTTAAAAAAATGCTGACCTGCCCGTTATTTTCCGGAGGGCTTGGAATTGCCTTCTAATATTTGAAAAAAGGTTCCATTGCTTGTAAATAATACGTTTCAATTCTCTATTGTGTTACTGAAAGAACGTAGGAAATGATGAAAGCAACGCTAATGCTGAGACCGACAGTAGAAACGTCAGTTTCATCAATTTATTTGTTACGGAAATCCAACGGAATACCCTTGCGTTAGACGCAAAATTGAAAGATCATTTATCAAATCTTATGCCTGATTGGCATTGGCTTACATTTAATATAATAAAACAGTGAATTCGAATACTTGTTTTACATAAATCGTTATTAAGAGCGTGTTTAAAAGTACAAAGAAATGGGACGAAATGCTCAGCCGGTTAATAAGACAGACAAATTCCTATTATACTTAAAATATTGCATACTTAAAATATAAAATATGCTCGAGTGTGTTCGATAAATATTTTCTTCTTATCTTATTATTAACATAATTTTGTAATTATAAATTATGATGCTTGAAATTTTTTTATATTCCTACTAATATTATAAAGAGGTAGAGTTTCTAGATTTTTTTTTTTTTAGTAGGGTAATTTCCGGAAATACTGATCCGTGGCCTAATTGTATAATTTTAAAATTTATCGCGATCGCTTTTTAAGGTATAGAAATTCAGATAGCGGTTTTTGAATTGCGTAACGTTGTAAGTCGCAATCGCGTAATAAAGACTTGGTAAAGTAATTGACATCTAACACTTGCCATAGAAAATTCTAATTAACATTAAAGGGTTTAGCCGGATACGTATGACGAGTCGGCCCCCAAATGGGAATCGATATTGAAACTTATGTTTTAATATAGACTTGATGTTCAAACACGATTTATGTACTTTTCGCGACCGACTTCCGCTTTGACCTTGAGATAGAGAGCAAAATATCCGTATGCTTGACTATTACTGAATGTGATATATCTCTGAAGCTAATTAAGATAAAGAAGTGAAACTAACGCGAGGTGTTAGGTTACATTACAGAGTATATCACATATATTTTTTTATAATTTTTAGAATAAAAAATTACATTAAAAAAATAAAAATAAAAAATATCATGTTTTTTTTTTCTGACTTCTCTGTGACTTACAATCACGAAATTAATATATGTTATGCTCCTTTGTATGCTCTATCACCCATAAAAATTGCGTGAAAAAAAAGTTGGTGCAACACAACGGAAAAAAATTATATGTGATTCGCGCCTTGTAGTGTGAGTGTATAAACAAACAAGTTCGAACTTGTTATCGAGCTGTTTACTGCATCGTTTGTTTAGCTAAAGTAGCAGTCATTTGTATTACACAAGAAGGCAGTTTGAGACTCAAATTCTGTCATAGGTATTTTGTATCAGCATTTTGAAATTATTAACTATCGAACCAAATCATTATTAAGTAATAATGTCGAGAAAGTGTAAAAATTGTAACAAGTACCTGTGTAAGATTCCAGGAGACCAGGATAACCAAGATAACCAGGAGGTTATAAAAAAATTATAAAGAATGAAGAAGAAGCTAAAGTGTTTAGTGACTGTTTGAATAAAATCGTAATAGTTAATGATATATTTTGTAAGAAGTGTCGACTTATCCCATATATTAACAAAAAAGCTTCTACTTCTAAATGTGCAGCATTTAACTTGGCCGAAATAATGGACGATCAAAATAATCTCTCAGTACAATATGTGAAATCAGCACCTAATATCATCAAAGCAGAAGTAAAATCCAGACATATAAATAGAAAAGTCTATCGAATTTACATTCACTATATTTCCGAAGGTAATGACTACAATAGTATTCTTCGTTATTGCTGTGATTGCCCCAATGGCAAACGTACAGTGGGATGCTGTTCTCATGTAGCAGCTATTATTTATTATCTATCATATCGATGATATTTGTCCAAATTCGTACGTCCTGCTGAGGTCCTAACTAAGTTATTTGCGACTCAAAGTGTTCCGATTGTAATTAATTACAACAGTGACGATGATTAATATTTTGTTTCTTGTATTTTGATAGACACGAAAAAGTAATAATAATGAGTATTGAACACTGGCTGTTTTATTTTTCATTTCTTTTTTAACTATTATCCCATCTCTTAAGACTAGTTACTTATGTTTTAAAACAAGCTGATGTGAAATTTCGAAAAAAAAAAACAATGATGTAATGTGAAAACCTTTTAATACAGGGGTATACCATAAGACAGAAATCACATATAATTTTTTTTCGTTGTGTTGCACCAACTTTTTTTTCACGCAATTTTTATGGGTAATAGAGCACACAAAGGAGCATAACATATATTAATTTCGTGATTGTAAGTCACAGAGAACTCAGAAAAAAAAACATGATTTTTTTATTTTTTATTTTTTTATGTATTTTTTTATTCTAAAAATTATAAAAAAATATATGTGATATACTCTGTAATGTAACCTAACACCTCGCGTTAGTTTCACTTCTTTATCTTAATTAGCTTTAGAGATATATCACATTCAGTAATAGTCAAGCATACGGATATTTTGCTCTCTATCTCAAGGTCAAAGCGGAAGTCGGTCGCGAAAAGTACATAAATCGTGTTTGAACATCAAGTCGATATTAAAACATAAGTTTCAATATCGATTCCCATTTGGGGGCCGACTCGTCATACGTATCCGGCTAAACCCTTTGCATTATTGTTCCTTCTATCTTCAAAAAAACTTTACGATCGCAATCTATCACATGTCACATATTTGTAGCGTGAAGTTTGCGAATATTTTTCAAATGTCTAATTGAAAGGCATTACGATCGATTTAAAAAATAAGAATATTAAGCTTTTTGATGATGAATATTCTTTCATTTACAGGATGATCCTTAATACGCAGATGAATAGGCTATAATTTACACGTTCAAATTTTTCATAAATTATTACAAACCATCTTTCAGGGAATCATCATCAGGGAATTTTAATCTTATCTTATCTTAGATAAAAATTAAGGAAAATAAATGCTTAAAGATTATTAATAACTCGCAAACTATTATATACGACATTAGCTTGAGTTATATTATAGTAAGTACTATTGCTCAAAATAATGTAATTTAAAATCACTGTATATTTTTCCGATTATTTTTAGCGTATTTTTACGATTGATACTCGATTTGTTTTGATAACAGATGTTGGGAATTGATAAAAAAGTGACGTAAAGATTGTTTTACAGAAATGGCGATTCTAAAATATTTATATGTATGTTATCTAAATTATTAACTCTCACGCAATCGAATAGCTAACAAAAGAGGGTATTTAAAAAAATCATAACTTAAGGATTAATCTGTAAGACATTATCAATTAGTCATTCAGTTTTATTTCAATAATCAGTCAATAAACTGTACCCTAATTTTAAGCTTCTTTTGTTCGACTTTGCTGTTTGATATTTAATAATAGATTCTAGTTTCCATCAGTAAACACATTATTTAGTATCAGTTTTCATTCACAGAATTACACGGTGACCAAAATATTGTGGTTTCGCAAACATCAATCGGCCTAAAAAACCGTATCATATGAATAGACTTGAACTAAAAGAGATATCACTATTTTTGATATATAAAAGAAACAAGACACATTCTATTTCTATGGAGTTACAATTTGTTTGAGACAGTACAAATAATACGTGTTATTATCAACAGGCATATATGGTGTACAAAGGACATGGCAAAGATGAGAGAGAAAAGACTGGCAAGTTCAGATCACGGCCCGCCGAGTCTACCTACACTATGACAACCAATAGAAGCACGAGGTTCTGTGACAACATGACCGAGAGAGAACTAGAGGTAACAAAATTGTGTTTATCATTCTCATAATGGCTGTGCTATGAAAAGTAGTCTAAGTTGCCCTATAACATAACCTATAAGCCAATTAAAGTACCGTCAAAATTGGTCCAACCATTTCAAAGAATAATCGGAAGAAACAGATGAACAGTTTTTGTACATGTACCTTTTATCCATATATATGTGTTTAGTGAAAAGCGATTCTTTCAATGTTGCAAATTGACACTCCAATTTTATTTATTTGTATAGATAAATCTATAAAATTGTAGTATTGAATGATACTTCCTGCAGGTAGTCCTAGTTATAATTATATATTCAAGGTTTAACCACGGCATAATAAAAACGTAGCATTTTCACTGAACCTATGATCTTTTTTTGTTTGCGTGATTCTATAAATAAAGAATAATTGTGTACCGACAATGGTGACAAAAAATGTCGAAATATAACACACATTACTCGTGTTTCTAAGTGATCCTGTTGATATTCGTTTATAAAATGTTTACATCATCATTTCTTATAAGAAAAATAATCGTCTTCAAAAGCTTTCAAGTATATATTTTTTATGTTTACCTATTGAAAAACGCGGAAGCTCAGGATTTATTACGTATATTCTTTACTCTGTAATGGTGCAAAAAAACTTTTAAATTTTGATAACTGTTGCAAACTAAGTAGTATTCTTAACTAATTCCTCATTACTCAAGTCATTTGTTTTTCATTAATATTACAAATTCATAAAAAGATAGCGTTTATTAATGGAAGATTTTAAAGATTTCGTTTTTATAAGTTTTCTATATATTCACCGATCATTTTGTTTTTCAAAAGGAGGAGTTCCGCAAAATATGCAACCAGTTAGAAAAACTACGCGAGCGATGTGGTACTGGAGCTGCTGTGTCAAAAAGAATCGCTGCGATGCAAGATGCGGCCTCGTTGCACGACAGAAAACCGCCTGCTTCGGATTCAGCACCTCTCAAACTCAACACAGTGTTCAGTGCAGTAGCCGACAGACTAATGTGTACCGTTACACCTGCAGAGGAATCTAGCAGTAGTGGTCGTGACTTGCCTTTCGAAGCACCCCCCGCTTACAAACATAAAACATTCAGTCCCACAAAGAGCGTTGAAGTCAGTAACGCTGAACAAAGTCAGACTGACGTTACAACAGACTCCCCTAAGACGAAAGTTCAGGAAGAAACAAAAGATGATAAACAGAATGGTGTTTTCAAAATCTCTGGTGAAGCCAATTGCAGTGATATACGTCCTCCCGAAGTGGCCAGTCGAAATGGATTTAATGGTAAAAGTGAAAAAACCAGTGAACTTAAATCTAGCCCCGGTAGTTCTGAAACAGTACGTGGAGTGAGATCAGGTCATGCAAGAACTCATGCTATAGTTATTAATTTAGACGATAAAAGCCGCTTCACAGAGGAAGTTACTGTTTAAAAGTAGGTAGCTATACTTTTGAAGACTGTACTTACGTTCCTTGGATTTCGTCCCCAGTTTCGCCAGTGATATATTTTGCATAATGATTTTAGAACGAAGTTAGTTTTAAAAATCTTTAAAATGAAATTCTTCCAAGAGTTCTGCAGGAGTCGAGGTAAGTGGTAGTGTAACTTGGTTATTTTTTTCTGTGTTTTCATTCAGATGTTTCGATAAATATAATATTGATGATGGAATTATGAGTGTTAAAGGAATTGAAGTAACTTAGAATTATATTCAAGAATTAATTTAAGTTCCTTCTATTTTATATCACACGTTTTGATCACTGCCTAAAACTTTGTAAAGATGTATTAAATTGTAAATTGTTGTAGCTTGTAGTGAAAAAATGCAAAATATAACATTAGCGGAGATTTTCCATTTTTCAAATTAGTATAATTATTTTAATGCTAGTCTTTACTGTGATCCGAAGAATTTTAATGTTAGTTAAAGTTTTGAAATTAAAGTGGAGCGTCATGTTGATGCCATATAAATATAATAAAACTCCAACAGGTGGCGTTGGAGTTTTTTATTTATTTTTGTTCTTTATTTATTTTTTATAAATAGAAATATCCATACCAAGAATTGGTAATATCACCATAGTATTTCACTGCACGCGTTATATTTTTAATTTCTACGTTCAATGTGATTTAAAAAAGATACTCTACTTTTAACGACATATATAATATAATATATACGACGTATATTAATTTTACTGTAAGGTAAAAATGTCACCATAACGTTCCAGTTTAAAATTATATTATTACGAAGATGCATATCATTGTAATTTTCTTTTAATTAATAAACGATATGTAACTAGTAACTTTAAGACAATATTTATTACTTTAAGAGAATCGTGCCACTTTCCAATTCGGTAATATCGTTTGATTGCTTTCAAGGTTCAATGATTAGTAGATTGGATATTACGAAAGCGAAGTATGCATTTCACTTTATACATAATCTGTTTACATCTGCACACGGGAACGATTTGCGAACTGAGAAAACTTCAAATATAGTATAATACTGCATTTACTATTTTGATTGAAAAGTTTTAATTTTGGACAAAGTCCAACTTATACATTTTGAATAAGAAAAGTCTATCTCGTCGACTTCTTATTTTTAAACCCGCTGATTAAAATAATTTGCCGAATGAGTATCTGACATTAACGAATTTATGAAGTATATTTTTTTTGGTTTAGTATCTTTAATGAAACACGTTTATGAAGTATTTTTTCAGAACCTTTTTAAATTTTAAGATTGTAAATTTAATGTTTACTATAATATTTATTAACCTTTTTTGTCATACCATAAAGTCGCTTTTTTAATGGCAGTTAAAAAATGTAGACTAAAATCACAAATTAGCTTCCAGATATAGTATCATATAAAGCGATGAGCAGCTTAAAGATGTTTTACTTTTACACTGATAACAAACAAAAAAGTGTCGTGAACATGACCCACCATATGCAACACGATATAAATTTCCGCGCACTGATTATAAATAATCCTCTATACCTATTATCATTTGACTAGATTCTTTGTCATATCAATTATATATCAAGTAACTTGATTACACTATCCTTATAACTTTCTTTATAACAGCTGTTTGTTTATTTAAACAATAATTTTTGGTCATTAACAAAAGTCAAATCTTTATAGTTATAAAAATTCTCGAACCTAAGTTAATATTACAAAGTGCTTCATAAAACAGACTTTCAAGTTTTGGTCTCGTTAAAACAACCATTTTATGGAGTGTCCTTACTCTGTTTATTCTCATAAGACTCGATAAAAGCTTGGATGCTTCCTTATTGCGCCTCTTAATCTGATTTACTTCAATGGCCGTTGTAAAATCTCAAATGATTTATAAACTAGAAAAGAAAAGATTTTATAGTTATTGTGCTATTGTACATGTTATTGTTAGCATATGTTACCCTAGTTACAGTGTATGTTGGAACAAACGATTTAAACCTCTCTATGAATGAACTCAAAATGCTATTAGATTTCGCGTAGCAATGGTTTAATAAAAATAAAATATTTCGCGTATACCTTACTTTATATAAACAAGTAATACTATCGGACGAATCAAAAGATTAACTGTTATGGTGTCAATAACAAAAATAAACAATAATATCCACAGTATAAGAAGAATTAAAAGGATAATAATAAAAACAATACTTGTCTCTTTGGTTTACCGGTTCAGGCAGATAAAGTGATTTCAACGTCTTAAAATACTACATCGATACTTCAATTTAGAATAGAACTTTCCAAGAAAATCCTACTAAAACGTCGAAACGGAAAACTGGAGTCGTGTCTGAATTAACGCATAAAAGAATATTAAAAGAAAGGTCGTACTTTTCAAACGCATCCATCAATATATAAAGAAAGCAGACGGCTCTCAAATATATAGATTTGAAAAAAAAAAAGATGTCGCTCTTCAATTCGAAATGTACATTTCAATTAAAATGGAAGTGTCTGGAAATATTTTAAAGTTGTTATCCGTAAGTCCTGGTATTATCTCTCCTTTCAATTAAGCTCAAGTACTATATCGATCGCGTGAAAAACAAGAAAATGACGGAGCGTTTCATACCCGTTCATTGAAATAAAGGGGACCGTGTCTTTCTTTTTCAAATCGTCGGCGAATGGTGTATTCTTGTCGTTGAATGGCGCGAAAAGCGATTTATCAAGGGGGTTTTAATAAAATGTTACATTTTTAGTCATTTTTGTTTCCGTGCAGTCATACTCAAACTGTTACACTTGAAGGTTATATTTATAATAATAATAAGCGCGTTGTCAGTGGATCGAACCACTCTTATTCTGTGGATAAGATGATGATATTTCTTTTCTTTAAAATTCAGCAAAGCTTAATCCAAATTCAAATTTAAATTTAAAAATTAATATCGTGGAATAGTCAAACTTTTATCGAAGGAATCTATCCAATTTATATGAAAAATTGAATTAATCTAACAGCTCAGAAAGTAGAAATTAAAAATAGTAAATAAAATAATTTTTATATAAATAAAGAATACTTGATAACTTTTGCATTAAAATGAGAGAGACACATATTCTTGGTAATACGAATGTTTTAAATTAAAGCAGACGTGTAGAAGCTTACCGAACATAGCTCAAAAACTTAACGGGGATTTAAGATTACAACTAGCAAAAGAGACTTAATCAAATATTTCAACCAAAAGTTTCTGTTGGAGAAGTTTATTTAGTTCGTGCTTTGATACGATAAATAACGACTGCTATTCCAAGATGCACGGTCTTGCATGCTCAGCTATTTGCAAAATATACGAATAGGATAATAAATGATAATGTGAAATCTTTCCTGTGCTATATTTTTGCCATGATGTCCCAAACACGAACACAGGTAAGCTCTTCAATGGTTTTGTTTTTAAATCCAATGGCTTTTATACCTGTTAAGGTTGAAAACCATGGCAACCAAATGGATGCGGAGAAGATTTATTCGCAATCAAAGTCAACCAAAACTCTAGAACATAAGCGGCGCATTCAAAATAAAGCATAATTTTCAACCGTCGAAATTTTTCTATATACTATAATCGTTTGGTGCTTTATCAGATAAACAAACTGCAATTATAATGAAATGTCATTGAACATTTTTTCTTATTATTCTACGAATTAACTAAAACTTTACTAAATTAATTAGTTCCATGCATTATATATATTATATTAACTAAATATGACTATGATATGTTCCCGTAGTAACTTGGCAATAACGTGTACATAACAGTACTCTCAAATAAAAAGTAAAGTTGTCTAATCGTTCTGGGTTAAGCCACTTTACCCCACCATTTTCAGCGATGTAGCTTGAAGGGGCAAAGTGGAGTAACACCTATTTCATTCGATATGTGAATACTGTCAAAATATTCATATAATAAATATTATATGCTAGACTATTAAAATTGTATAATACCTTAACTCAACGAGCCCCGAGTGGCTTGCTTTTGTAAATATTCTATTAGAATTAACTATCCACCCATGATGAAAGACAAACTAGTGATTATATTTTTGTAAATAACTGTATGTGTCGTAGTTTTTAATACTGTTTGATTATAATTTTACTGTGATGGCGCCTATAGTCTGATGGTTGGCTATGAAAAGCACAATCGGCAACACATCAAGGCTTCTACTTCCATATTCAAAATATGATGAAATATTTTGTCATCTATCCTTGTCTAATTAATACATTGCTAATGTCGTAGATTAGAGAAAATCACAATGAAGCTTACGAGAGTGTGAATTCTGTTGTATCACTCTCTAAATAAAACGAAACGTTCTCCATTTAATTTTTTTAAACGTTATTTTGTATTCATAAGTATTCAACTAAATAAGATTATACCCCTGAATACACAAACAACAATACTTCTGTTATCTTTATTATTTACAAGACTAAGCTAAATAAGTCTTGTTTGCGCAACAGAATTGCCAGTATTATCTCGAAAATTGAATGTACTCGTATGTCTAACTAGACTAGTAGTTTCTTCAAATTTTATATGCTGCTGGGTGTACGATTGAAATTGCTTATCTAATTTTCCTGGATAATTATTGTTAATAAATAAATTATAAGAGTTATTTATCTTTAAGAAGGTTTATTTTGTAAATTGTTACAGTTATTTAGAATGTTGCTAATTTATAATGTTACTGTTGAATTCATTTACAAAATATTCTGAAATTTAAATATGTTAACCGTTCGATATTTTTCAATTTTTAGGGAACTTGCACATAGATGGAACGGCACGTTTTCAGAAGTTCACTGCACTATTAGTCTTATCTTCACTCGATTAGTTTTATTAACAAGACAATTTTTTAATAAGATTAATCGAGAAGTCGAATATTTTAAATAGTTTTTTCGTGCTTATTACCTGTCCATCTTCGATAAGAAATTTTATATAGACAAATTGAACGAGCTCAAATTTGACAGGCATGCATTACTCAATTACAAATTTCCA